ACACTCTGTCATACCTCCATGTATGCATGTACTTTGGTAAGAGTACATTGAGTGGAGCAGTAATGAGCGGGAGAGTGTTGGGTGTTCCATATGTGAGCAAACAACAAACACATAGCAGCAGATGATCACCCAAGTGTACTGTGTCGTGGATACAAAGTAACGAATAACGAAGGAACAGAAACACCAAAAAACCACTGATCTGTAAGCTTTCGCCAGTGATGTCATATTTAACATATGAAAAAACGCTATTTCTTAAAAATCGCTAAACTGAGATGGATTAGAAAATTATGCTGTAATACACCAAAATTATGCAGGGGTTTTTAGATACCAATTCTGCTTTAATAGAGACTATGGAAAACATATTTTTTAGAACCCTTAAAAATTTATTTTGGAACGTTAAATAGGGAATAGGCACAGTGTTCGTAGATTTTCAATTTTAAGAGGTTATACTTAGGCGTGCAGCCAAAAACTCATTATTTTGTGATTTTTGTCCATATGTCTGGCAGCAGAATTATTATTGAAAATTATAGGGATATTGCAAAATTAAGTGCCACACCAAAACTTACTTAGCTGGCTTGTGACAAAACGGTTATACCAAAAGCCGAACTTAAAAAAAATTTCTAAGCGATAGACTATGTTCCGAGATGTTGTCTTCCATTTGATCTTTCCATCGGAAACATTGCCTTCCCCTTCTTCGTGAACCACCACTTGGCTCGCTTTTATATGCCTTTTGAGTGGGGGAATCCTCATCCATTCTCACAACATAACCTAGCCAACGTAGTCACTGCAGCTCGATCCGCCTGACAATGTCGATGTCCGTGTATAGATGGCATAGCTCATGATTCATTCGACGGTGAATTGTTCTGTCGATCACTCCAAAAGCTGCCGTATCTGCTTGCGCAAGTACCCATGCTTCAGATCCATACAACAGTACGAGTGGTATCAGCGTGTTGTGGAGTGTGACTTTGGTCTGGCGAGAGGTGGCCATGTTTTTCAATTACTTACTCAGGCCATAGTAGCATATGTTGGTCAGCACTAGTCTCCGAATTTGAAAACTGTAGGTATATAAAGTCTTTGACTACCTCGAATCAGTAGTTTTCAAGTTCCACAGTTGGTCCGATTCTACTGGACGTCTTGCACATTGATACCATCGGCTTGGTCTTCTCACCATTTATTGTCAGACCAACTCTGGAAGACACCTTCTCAATTAGTTCAAAGGTGGCTGTTTTCCGTTCGCGATGTTCCACCAATTATATCATTGAAGTCGGCGTAGGCGAGGTTCCATTCATTGGGCATTGCATTCCTCTAGCCGAATTGTACTAATCAGCTGGTGCATGCTTCTTGAATAGTTCGGCTGGAAACCCATCGGCATCTGCTGCTTTATTGTTCTTCAACCGATTAATTGCTATTCTGACCTCATCTTGACTAGTTGGTATACAATCTATACCGTAATTTCTTATTGGTTCTGGGGTATCTACTTCACGGCCACTATTTGAAGTTTTCATAATGTTCCTTCCAGAACCTCAACATGCTGTTTGTATCTGTCACAAGGTATACTTCTTCTTCTCTACAGTAGGATGTGCCTGCACCAAAGCCTTCGGTTTGGTATTTTACTCGTCGTTGATAAAATTTCAGAACTTCATTCTGACTACATACATCGACCGAACGACCAATACACTGGATTAATGCCTTCCGTCTATCACAACATGATCAATTTGATTTCTCGATGCTTGATCAGGAGAAAACCAGTTTAGATGAATGGAATATTTAAATTTCATCCAAACTTTGCAAATCGTAATATTTTCCCAAACCTAAGATGGGTCAACTTTTTCTGTTAGCTCTCCAAAGATGGCCAACTTTTTGAGGCGAAAAATACCTTATATCGAAAAATAGGACCTATTCCGAATTTTACAACAAATAATGTCTGTATATTAAGATATTTTTTTAATATAAAAAATTATATAAAAAAGTAGATTCTTGCTATACGAAAACAGACCAAAATGTTCTGTTTCGTCGTATTTCAAATATTCGATTTTACAACATTCTTTTTTTTCAAATGGCATTTGCAGTCAAACTAAAAGTAGATTAAAACCAGTGAGCAGAACAGTATAGTCGGACGGGCCGACCATACCATACCCTACACAACCACCACGGAACTCTAACTTTCTGCGGAAGTTTATTTCGAGTCTGGGCAATATTTCGTGATATTTGCGACCTCTTGACTGATTAGAGATCAACAGCACATCTTATAATACTAATATTTCCCGGCGTTACAAACTCAGCTATAATACCCTGACAACATAGTTGTGTAGGGTATAAATATATAATTTTATTTGAGTTATTTCCAACAAATAATCCAAGTTTTTTGATTAGCCGAAAGACTTAAGTTTCCCTAATTTATTTTTTTTTCTAAAATCTTGCCTCATCATTCTTTCAAACTTAATCAAGTACTGACGTTCAACACTTTGATTAAAATGTGTTAAATACTCTTATTTACCAATCATTAACTAAATAAAAATTTGACAATTGTTTTGTTGTTCTTTATTATTAATTGGCATTACCAGCTAAAACCAGTTTTATCTCGTCCTCCCTTATCCAAAACTGCTAAGTTAGCATCACTAGCACTATCTTCGCATAGTTTCACACAAAAACAAAGTCTCTCTCTTTTTCCCTCTCTCTCTCAATAACAATGAAAAGTTAAAAACCGAGCATACGTCGTACTTTCTGGTCACATTCATCCATAGCTGTTATTTGTTGTTGTTGTATACGTCGTCTATACGTATACGGTGGCTACGTATGTAGATCGACGACGTCGTCAATATTCTCTGGTTTTTAAGATTGTCGAGACGTTTTTATTGTTACTGGCACTTGTTTTTAACAAAAAAAAAAAAAGAGTTTTATTATTATTATTATTTTTTTTTTTTTTGCATTTCAGAAGTTCGAAAATTTGCAAAGATAGGAGTTTGAAGTGTCGTGTCGTCGTGTTTAGAGATAATATTGTGTTGGGGTGTGTAGATTATTGCCACGTTAAGAAGTTTATCTGTGAAATGTCAATAAGTGCTTTTTTAGAATAAATAGATATTTTTTGGGAAAGGGGGGGTGGATTTCAATGGAATTCTATTTGGGTCTTGGGAAGGATTATCCAATGGGATTTGGTATTTTATAAGTATCCTACGTAGAAAAATTACAGTCAGTGTAGAGGAATTAGTCTCCTTCCAAATCGCATGTAAAGTGCTATCCAGTGTGCTGTATGAACGACTGAAGCCTAGGGTCAATGAAATTAGTGGACCATACCAATGCGTTCAGAGGCGTTTAAAATCATGTCTACGTTTGGCATTCCTGCTTTAACTGGTACAAAGTCAGCAGTTAAAATCGAAAAGGACCTCTCGGAGCTTTTCAATACCGAACTAGGATTCAGACAAGATGACAGATTGTCGTGTGACCTTTTTAACTACCCAACTTACTGTGTAATGTTGCTAAAGATCTACTGAAGAATACATCAAGGCCCAAATCAGGCTTTCGTGCTTACTTCCAAGGTTAAAAATGATTTCCAGACGTGTCGAACTTATGTGCTCTTTCAATTTGAAGGGCCATGTTTCGAGGTGATATCTTCCATTTGATCTTTCCATCGAATTAGTGGTCTTCCCACATGATCACACGACAAACTGTCAACTTGCCTGAATCCTCAGTTCAGCATTGAAGGACTCAAAGAGGTCCTGGATTTGTCAGGTTTGGACCGTTATATAATGGAATGGTCCTATATACGATTTCCATAGACAGAAGACATCTTAAAGTTTTTCTCTAAACATCAGGCCTGATAAGGTCAGAAGACGTATAGGCTGGCCACAGAAGAAGTCAAAAAAGTTTTCTACAGGGTGAGATAAAAAAATCAAACGCCATAATTTTTACATTTTTTTGCTTTTAAATTTAATTGAATGAAAGAAAAAGATGTCGGAAATAGCATGAAATTTATTGCAGGACATTCATATGGTCTACTGGATATCGGAAATAGTATATATGTATGTAGATATATATGTGAGTAGCACCTGTACATTACTGACCATAACAAATGGCTTGGTGATAGGAAATTTTCTTGTATTTTTTTCTTAATTAAATGTCAATTTGTTTGGCACTATGTGCTTCTTGAGTAATTCTGATGACGTACACTTATTTGCAATATACAGAAGACATATATGTATATATAATTTACAGTGGCGGACAAAAGTCTACGTACGACCCCCTTTTTTAATTTTAGCCCAACTTAAAACATTTAAAAGAAAAGTAATGATGCAGTTTTGTTTAGAATTTAATTTTATTAGAAATAAAACAAAAATAGCGCATATTCAGCTTAGACTATAAGAGTTTTTAATAAAAAACGTAAATAAGGCATTGACAAAAGTGTACGTACGTTTTTTATTTTCCTTTTTGTTGATTCATTGTTTTGCTATAAGTTAACGGTAAAGTACCGTTTATTTACTTTAGCGCTTATTCTTTGCATTCTCTTTTAAATTCATGGAATTGTGTCACTTGAGTAATGTTCCGATCGTGATAATGATGTCGCGCACAGAAATTTCTAAAGATTTGCGAAAATTGGTGGTGGAGCACAAAATATTTTGGCGAAATATCAAAATTATTAAATTTAAGCAAATCCACGGTACAAACCATATTTAATAATTTCAAACAATCAAGTTGTTTTGAAAGTAAACCGCGCAGTGGCCGTCCTAAGAAATTAAATCGCAGGGAAGTGTCGTTCATCCGAAATGAAATAGAGGAGAATCACAAAATACATGCCACTAATTTGACCTAGGAGCTGGCAGAAAGATCACAAATTGTTGTCCACCCACGCACAATAACCAGGGCACTTAATAATGAAGGACACCTTTGCCGAATTCCTCGCAAGAAATCCCTTATAAGCGAGAAAAACCGAAAGCTTCGCTTGGAGTTTGCAAACAAGCATCGGGACAAGGGATTGGAATTCAGGAAATTGGTGCTGTTCACAGATGAGTCCAAGTATAATGTCTTTGGATATGATGGAAAAGCCAAAGTTTGGAGAAAACCAAATACTGCCCTGCAACCGAAGAACATTGTAAGTACGGTAAAACACGGTGGTGGCAGTGTAATGGTCTGGGGAGCGATTGCAGCATCAGGAGTAGAAAACCTTGTGTTTGTAGAAGGTAATATGGACCGCTTGCAATACAAGCGCATATTGGGACATAATCTGCAGCCATCCGTGGACAAACTAAACCTTGGTGCGAGCTGGATCTTCCAACAGGACAATGATCCTAAGCACACGGCGAAAATTGTTAAAGATTGGCTGCTGTATTATGCCCCACGACAGCTGCATTCAACCCCACAAAGCCCGGACTTAAATATTATTGAGCATGTTTGGGAAATTTTGGTCCGCACTATTACTAGTGCTGAACTACTCAAAGATAAGCTGATGGAGGAGTGGCAGAACATCTCGGTGGAAGAGCTAGAAAATTTAGCTGCTTCAATGCCTAGAAGACTGCAAGCAGTCATCGATGCTAACGGCGGCCCAACTAAATATTAATTTTGTTACATATAAGTAAATTCTTTGAATATTCTTTAATTTTTGAGTTCGTACGTACACTTTTGTCAGTGCCTTATTTATGTTTTTTATTAAAAACTTTTATAGTTTAAGCTGAATATGCGCTATTATTGTTTTATTTCTAATATAATTAAATTCTAAACAAAACCGCATCATTACTTTTCTTTTAAATGTTTTAAGTTGGGCTAAAATTAAAAAAGGGGGTCGTACGTAGACTTTTGTCCGCCACTGTATATAATATAAATATTATCATATAGTCATGCATGCGATACATTTGCAATGCAATCAATTCATATAGACACATGACTTTTTTTGCATGACTTTTTTATGAATGACTGTATGTTTGCGCATAGTGCATTTAATATGGTTCAAGTAAAACTACTTTCGAGGTGGATCATCAGGACATAATATTTATAATTTTTTCTGGAAGATGTGGCGCCCAAACCAGAAAAACTCTCAAAATAGCGAACATTAGGGATAACGTTATATGGTTGGGTAGATTTGATACCTAATTAGAATCAAACATACCAAATTAGAGGTAATTCTTTTGAAAAACTTTTCCATAATTGTCAAAATACCGAAAATTTGGAAGTACTGTTATATGAGGGCTATGCCTAAAAGTGGAACGATACAGCCCATTATCGTACTGCCTTCAGACAAAATACAACTCTATGCTGAATGTTCGTTTAGAGGCTACAGTGCTTGCAGCAGGCAGACGGACATATGTAAATCGTCATAGAATTGAATTAATCGATCTAAGGAAGCCTAATTTCATCAATGGGATTTGTGACTTTCAGTTGTCAATTCCTTTGCATATATTTTAAATAATTCCTCATAAAGTTGGTTAACCCGGTAAAAAGTTCTAATGAATATACCATTTTCCTTTGTTTTGGCACTCATCTCGATTATTATTTCGAAGAAAATAATAATATCTTTGTCAAATCAAATTAATCCAAACGTATTTTTATTTGTTTTGTTAAATAAATCGTGTATATTACGTTTACATTTAACCGGATTTCGTTAACCCAGTGGGTTTCAATTAGCAATTCCTTTGCATATATGTCAAATAAATCCTCATAAAGTAGGTTAACCCGGTAAACAGTTCTAATGTATATGTCGTTTTACATACTTTTGCTTTGTAATATTGGCGTGGGATAATTTTTTGTGGATTTTTGTTTGGCTCTAGGTCAATCGAAATTAAATCATTTTGTTTTTTTTTTCTTTTTGTTAATTTTTATTTTCCAATATTTCGACTGTCTTCGGCAGTCGTCTTCAGAGATATACTACAAAAAAGAAAAAAAAAACAAGTATTAAATGGGTGCAATGTGCAGCAAGCGCAATTTTTTGCTCTATGTCCAGAAAGTCTCGTCTTAAGTTCAGTTTTTGTTATACCAACATCATGGCAAAATAATAAAGGTAGTCTCATTTCAAAAATTCAAATACAACTTGCGCTTTGTGTGCTTGAGCCCGTCAAATACAAGCATGCCTATAAATACTTCAATTGTTGTTGCTCTTAAATGACAGCAATTAAAAACATATTGGAACGACTTAAGATATGTTAAAGATTTGTCGATCGATATGAAATTATGTATAAGAAGAACTGGAATACAATGATATACAGTAAAATCCCGATAATTCGTAACCCCGTTAATTCGTAAACCCCGCTTATTCGTAACAAAATGCCGGTCCCTTGGAAAACCCGCGATAATTCGTAAAAATCCCATACATTTCGGTCCCCTCGATAATTCGTGAAATATTTCAAACGAAATGCTTAAATACCTGTTATAATTCGTAATTTGTTTTCGTAAACCTCGATAATTCGTAAACTTAAAATGGTTTTTTTTATTAATTTCTCTTTCGAAATGAGCTACATGATAGGAGTTCCAATGAAAAGGAAAGCCAGAGAGATACTACATTCCCACCACTATGCGACGCGTTTCGCCGTTGGTTAAGCGGCTCATCAGGCATATTGGGCAATGTGGCTTACAAATGTCTTAACTTGATAAGTTGTATTTATGTCGACTATTCTTGCGAAATTGCATCTACGAATTAAATTCAGCCGTGTAAAGGTTCGGACATTTGGCATCACACCAGAACATTCCTTTTCAAAGCAGATTTTTCTTGTAGTGACGGACTTTTTTCCATACAGACAACTATATTTTTCTTCAATGGTATGCAACTGCATATTGTGCAACCTTAGGAAGGTAAGGAGGTGGCTTTGAACGCTAAGGCGCCGGACCCCAACAGATGACATGGGAACCAGGCTTCAAATCCCAGCCGGGCTCAAGTTGAATTTTTGAGTTTTGTTTTTATGCTTTTTTAGGGCGAAGGATCATTCATGTAAATGTTTTTTAATAATTTCTCTTTCGAGATGAGCTACATGATTCGTGCATTTTAAAGTAGCGGGCGCCGCATTCTTTGTAGGAAAATCCAGTTTCTTGTGCTCATCGTACGACATTAACAGTAAACCACTGACTAGTGATTCTCTGTTCTGAAGTGGCAATACATTTGTTTTCATGTGTGTCTTTCTCTAACTTTTATTATTTTAACGTTGATTGATAGGGCTATTCGCATTTTTCTGCATCTCAGTGAATTTAATTCACTTGTCGCATGGTTTTGGCAAAACCGTTAATCGAATATGCCAATTGGAGGAGTGCTTATGAGAGAAAAGGCTAAAACGTTTGCCGCTAGGCTTACACAATTCCAAAGTCGGCGAAGGATGGCTCTATCGCTTTAAGAAAATGCACAACATAATTTTCCGGAAAACAATGTGTTTGAAGGGTGATACATGCCATGGTGAATTAAGAATTAAGTTTTTTTTTGGCCGCAATAAATTGATTTTAAGATTTTTTGTTTTGAAAAAATAAAAAAAAAATATACGTACCTTAATATGTATGTATACTCACGATTGAATAAAAACCTCGTTAATTCGTATTTTTTCATTATTCCCCCCGCTAATTCGAAACCTCGCTAATTCGAAAACCTCGTTAATTCGCATAAAACCGTCGTCCCTTGACATTACGAATTATCGGGATTTTACTGTATATATTTTTTGCCTAGAGACCCTGTTTCCTGATATTTGAGCTTTAAAAATTCTTTTGGGAAATTACTGGACTTCAAGGGAACTTTACACGCCCATAGAACTGGAAGCGTAGACTTCCGCAAAAAAGGTATATCGTTATTTTAAGTGTCATTAGGAATACATGAAGCACATATTTTAAATTTAACTACGACTTCAAAATAAATATCTCATTTAACGCACAGCGAACATTCCTATTTACATCACAACGGGTAACTTAAGACGTTCATTTTTTATATAAGAAGGCCACCAGTTCTTATACAAGAAGGCCGCCTTATAGAAGAGCGAAGAAACTCGAAACAACAAGATTAACAATAATGTTGGCTACTCCTTGTTTAGGAACTACTTCCAGCTTATGATCTAGTCCATCAACTTGGGCAAGCGTGGTTAATGATCTTAAGCCTTCAGTGTTCGCTAAACGAATTAGAGTCGGGGAGTCCAGAACTCGGAGTGAAGCGATTTTATTGAAATTAGATTGAGCTTAGGTACTACTTATGAGAAGCAAGATCCTCGTCTAGTATTGGTTGTGTAATAAGCTAGTAGATTCAGAGATGTAATATTATGGTACTATTTACAGATTATTTACATAAGTAACCGTTAATTTCAAATGTTTAAAACAGACTTGCGTTTTAATATTTAAATTATTAATAAAACGTATGTGTTTATACTATAGTAAATAACATATGAATAAACATAGATTTGATCCGCTTCAAGAGCTATAAAAATACCATTATACATTCTAAAAGAAATAGCTCAAAAAAGATCATCTGCTTTAGTTGGTCTATAACGACAATGTATAAAGACCATATTCAGCAGGTCTATATAGGCTACCTTTAGGTGTCCTAAAATACTGTATTTTTGGTGGTATATAAAGACTGCATATAAAAACCACCTTCAGTTGGCCTGCCGTCCAGCTCTTCTATAAGAAAACCGCCTCAAAGCGACCTCAAGATCTCCTATATGTACATCTATAGTTCTTTTGCAAGAAGTCCTCCAGGTCTAAAAAAAACACCGTAAACTATAATTACACTGTGCTACAAAACAACAAAAAAGTTATTCAGGGGTTCTAATGTACCAATTCGAAAATAAATTTGGTTTTTCTGGGTCACTTCGAAAATTAGTTTTATAACGATAAATGCAGAGAAAAACGTGGTGTCATAGATTTTTAAAAACGGCGGTAATAAATTAGTAAACAAACCTTTATTTTTGTTTTTTTTTTTACTTCAAAATTTAATATTGAAGTGTGCGAATACTTATTCTGGTAAGTGTATTATTTTTTCGTCACAACTGAAATAGTCGCCTTTTCGATCTTTAAGACCACATACTTTTGTGATATATATATTTTTTTTTTAAATTTTAGATGAAATCTTAATATCTTTAATTATTTATGAATGTACTCACCGAAATTCTATATTTACACACCGCATTTGCATTTCACACCATGTTGTGGCTGCTTCGTTGGCTACACTATGTTTGCCCATTTTATTTCTCTTGTCATTAGCGTATTTCTAATACGTAATACCGTTTACGTATGCAACGATCAAATAGCAACAACAATTTTTTTTTTTTGTTTTTGTTTGTGTTATTTATGTTTTTCGATTAAATAAATGACGTTTATGACGTTCATTTTTACGCACGAACTCTTTGACACGGCACGGCATTTCGGGTTTCTTTGTTTGTTTATGTCCGCAACATAACCACAAAAGATGTGTCACAGAGAGTCTGAAAGTCAATTACCTTTTGAGCTGTATGAAAGAAAGAGAGAGAGAGAGCCACTAGGTGAGTGAGTGCATTATTGAAAATAACATCATATCAATAATTAAAGAGAGAGAGTGTATGGATTATTGATTTATTATTTGCCGGTCATTTTTGTTGTCAGATTTTTACTGTCAAACTGTGATAT